TAGATAGATAGATAGATAGATAGATAGATAGATAGATAGATAGATAGATAGATAGATAGATAGATAGATAGATAGATAGATAGATAGATAGATAGATAATATATATAGATGCCGACCACCAGATGGCAGCAAATTATTTTGTTGGGGTAAAAGCTTCACTGTTGCTAAACAACTGGTGTTTGCATATAGAGAAGAGAAACAACAAGAAGAGTCCCTGAAGCCTTGAATATTTTTCAGTTTACACAACTTAAATACAAGCATATTGTCCCTGTGTTGCTGTGTGGGCTCTGGGTCAAAATCCATCCTTCACAGGACTTGGCCTACCTGGTCTGCTTAGACTGGGTCCTTGAGAGGCACCGAAGACTGGAAGTAAACAGTTAAATGTGACTGTTTTAAGTATTTCGGCGTACACTTTTCACACTTCTCAGTGATCATAACCAATCAGCAACTAGTTTCTAATCAGTCTTCAATCGTTAGGCCATCATCGGCACTGATGCCAGTGATAGCTTTTTCCCCCTTTATTCTTTTTTTCTAAGGTACTGACATTACATGTATGGGGTACTGTTGTGTTGTTGTCTTTACTGCAGCAAAAAAATTTCATTATAGTTTATTTCCAAAAACTGCACAACACTCTTTAAAATTCATGCAAGTACAAGTGTACAAAGCACTGACTCATTTTTACTGATGGATGCAATTTGAGATATAGCATAGGTAAGAAAATATAACTAATGCTCACATTGTTGGCAAGAAACTAAACATATGGACTGGTTCTCATATTCTGAGCACTCAAAGCGCTTTACACAACTCATTCATTCACCCAATCACAAGTTTTTAGTGCTATCTAACTAACATTCATACACATTCACACTCTGATGGATGCATCGGAGACCAGCCTGGGGTTCGTATCTTGCCCAAGGATATCTGGCATGCAGACTAGAGCAGACTAGGATTGAACTACCAACCTTTAGGTAGTTGACCTGCTCTACCACCTGAGCTACAGCCATCATATGGCATTTGTATTTCCATGTTGTGACTTTAAGAGCTATTTTGTAGGTAGCACATTAACAGAACAATGCTGCAGGATTATAAAGTGGAGCTTAAGCCCAGGTCAGTAAAGTAGATCAATACAGCTGTTTTAGTATATACACGATCTATACCTTCACTATGATAACAATCAGATCCGTGCCACCACACAAACTGCTGTCAATGTCAAATTTGTATCAGATGTTTTCTGTTTCAGCTCTTTTATTGGCTCTGTGGGAGCGGGGGGAGGGACTACTCCCATCTTTACCACTAAAAAATAATCTGTATTCAGGATTCTTTGGAGTGCAATATATATCCTTTTTATTCATTCATAGTTTGTGAGTGTCATTCATGTTGAGAAAATACAAATGAAAGCATCTTGTGTTCAGGTTAAGTCAGTTAACTTGAACATGTACATGCAGTAGTGGAATGATAAGATCGTGAATTTGCTGATAAAAGAATTTATTGGCATCAATAAACTGCTGAGAGTTATTTCTACTGCCCACGTACAAAGTGCAGCCGTTTCTGATATTGCTAAAGCTGAACACAGCTAACAGTGAGGCATGGTGACAGTTCAAGAACACGGCATGATGAAAAGCTTTATACAGTGAAATTAAATACAAAGCTGACGTGTACGTAACATGAGCTCGTCTAACGTGTTCTAGTGTTTGTGCTTCGTAAAGTTTTTAAGCTCACTTATTTTCAGATTATAAATTGTCAAGTAAAATGGAAGGAAAGGCATTTTGAATGTAGCACGGTCAGCTTTCCTGCCAGGTAAAGGAACAGCCCAACATTTAGAAATCCTGTTGGTGTGATGAGAAAATACATATCTGAGGTCTTCAAGAGTATTAAATATAAAGGCTAGCTTAGCACAAGGTACACAAAATTCCAGTTTAGCTCCCACTGTGGATCAGCAAAGTGGGGAAACGAGGATTCCCATAAAATCAGTCCAACACCAGCGTTTTCATGTTCCCTGCCCTGCTCAGTGTTAATAATCCGCACTTTTTGGGAACTAGTATGAACACAGAAATACATGAAAGGAATTAGCATAGCTCCACCGAGCTGTGTCTCTAATGTCCTGCTATAGTTTCATTTGTACACAGCTACACCTGCTTTCACCATGTCAGCCTGGATTTTGTTCAGGCAAAAATAGTGTTTGTTTAAAAGTAGCACGAACAGCACAAATATGTACAAAGAGATGTTGTACTGGTCACTGCTGGTCATTGCAATGATGCGCCAGTATGACTGCCATAATGTTCAGAGAGATGTGATTTTTAAACAGGATGATTTGTTACGGGGCAAAAACTGTAATTATTAGAACGGCTACTTGGATACGTTTAACGTGTGGGTTTTAAAAGTTTTCATCCTAAAATGTTTATTACGAGTAACCATAATAGTTCCAAAGCATAGTGTCTAAAATCAATATTGGAACTATGTTACAATCATGCAGCATAAAACTTCTTTCACAGGTGGATACAAGTATCAAACTTCAAATATTCATTCTTAAATTAATAGTATTTTTATAATAATAAAAGCAATCACTCAAAATCCCACGATGGGGGCTAAACTAGTAAACTACACATGCTTTCTGAATGATGTCAGTGTAAAATTATAAACCATGTGGAAGAAGTCTGAACCCATCGGGTTTTTTATATTCATTTGATAAAAGGGCTGTCAGTATAGTAGTGCCAGTAATACTGTTTCAGTCACACCTCCTGAATTGAATTCTTATACTTCTCACTGGTTACACAAAGCTCCTCTACGACACACTCAAAAATAAGGTTGTTTACGGTGGTTCAGGATTTACTCAGACGACCTGTGGCTCTGTCTCCTGCATCTGTGTGTTGGATTCTGAACCATAAAATAATGTAAAAAGCACCTTGAGTAAGAAACTCAGGTGAAAATGTGAAAATCTGAGTGGCAAAAGGGGTGTGACATGCAAATTTTGGAGTTTGGTACACTCTAACAGGTCCAGTGACATGGCTGATCGAGACACGTCTCACATGTTTCTGGTTATTTTAAATAAAATGTTTGCTTAGTTTGATTCTTTTTCAGGACAGTCAGTTAACATGAAGTCAGCTTAAAAGAAGAATTAGTTACTGTGATATTTTAGCTTTAACACGCTGGTAAATTTTGTAAAACAGATTCTCAGCTTTGGAACAGGACTTCTTATTCCTTAGATGTGACATTACTTTCATGGGAATATCAAAAGGCAGCACAAACATTTGATATTATATATAGGAGTGAGTCAGATCTCATAGTCAGACCCTGGAGCGAAATGACGGCAGAGATGCATCTCACAAGCTCAGGCAGTGCAGCTACGTGCACATATTTATGCGAAGCTCCTGTTTGATGCACTCAGAGATGCACAGACAACTGTTTCACAGTTTCTGCCACATTGAAAATAATATTTGAGTCTTATGGTCTTACTCTCTCAGAATGGGGAACTGTACTGAGAAAAATATCACAAGAAGCCTTTCCTGCAGATGTGGATGTCACCCGGTACTTTTTCAGTTTTGCTACTCAGCCAAGTGACTTTCTCAGTCTAAGCCGACTGCAGGTTTCCTATTTGAATAATGACCAACATTAGCATTACTGACTAACCTGAGCTTTGAGGTCAGTTTCTTTTTATGAATATGTAAACTGTCATGACCACTGATCAGTGGCCGTGAGTACTGTCTAAAAAGACCTGGGAAAATCCTGCACTGTAAGATGGTAAAAGATGTAACCCTGTCCTTGGTAGAGAAATGACTGTTTCCTTTTCATTTTAATAGTAACGTATATTAATTATTTAAAAGCATCCAAAGTCAGGGTCAGCCAATCAGAGGAAAGCTACATTGCAGGGGAAGGAGCTAAAACAGCTTATTTGAGACGGACGATTAACTGAGGAATGGCACCAAGGCCTGTGATCAATAACAATCACTGTGAAACTGAGGCTCACAATAAAAATATAGAGCTAGAAACTAGCAGAGTGGACCTGTTTTAATAACGTTTGCCTCTCTGTCCTGACCCTGGTGTGTGAAAATAACTGATCTTTTAAGAACCACAAAAGTAGTTTTGGAATTAATTAATTAAAAGCATCTAAAAACTATCAACACTAACAGATAGTGAGTTAGCATTGCATAAGCATAAGACAGCACAGTTCATTATCTTAGGTTTGCTGGAAGTTTCCCCTGCTGCTTCCAGTCCTTGTGCTAAGCTAGACTAAACACGTCCTGGCTCCATCTCTGTGTTGGACACGCAGAGATGAACCACTACAAAAGGTGCTTCCAGATATTTTGGATTGTTCCTTTAAATCACTTGTACAGTAGCTGCATGCTTCCCTGCACCTCCCTGCTAATGCTAACAATGTTTTGTTTTCTGTGTGTTTGATGAAAATGAAAACAGTGCAAAAGGCCAGTTGGAAAATCACTGAAGCCGTTTTGTAGTTTCCTGCTGAGTTAAGGTGAAATCTGATGTTTCCACTGCAGTCCGTCAGCTGAGAGTTCAGAGGCTAAACACTGTTAGCTTGCATGTTGAAGATCTAATCACAGCAGAAAGCTGAGCTCCAAGATAAAAAACAGCCACGACCACCAAGGAGGGAATCACAATAGAAAAGCAGTTAGACTTCTTAGATAAAGGAGTATTTAATTATTTTTCTGCCCTATCTGCAGGACGGAGAATAAATGTCTGGTATATATGTGATGAATAGTCCTGAGGCAGCCAATCAAGAGTGCCACAGGATTTCGAAAACGTAAACCATGCTCCCCTCTGCCACTAGGGGGCAGCAAGCAGCCACAAATGTTCTTTTTGGGAGTGCCTAATATATTAGCATGCTAGCATGTTTTAGCAAACCTGACAGCCCCAAATACTAGTGTTGAGCATGTCATACAGATGACTAAAGTAAATGTAGTATCACTGAGTTCATATTCCGCAACATCAGATTTAGCATGCTAACATGTTCCATCCAGTTCCTGGGTTTCTTGCTCATCATTGCATGTTGCTAGAATGTCAACGGGGGACAAGTGAAAGCAGGCCAAAAGAGTTTCATCATTCTTGTGAGCTAATGGTTAATAGTTAATAACTGTTAGATTTTAAAAACTAGTGCTTTCTGGTTGTGTACTTAAACTTAGCTTAAGTGTGAAGCCTGCTGCGCTGGTTTTATTCCCACTATTTTAAGCAGCATGCCGAAAAATAAAATCTTACACAGGAACTACTCTGCTTTTTCTTACTTTGTTACATAAACATTTGAACATGTATTTATTGGGATAAACTCCTTGAGATGTACCATCTTGTGTTGTAGGAGGTCATGTTAAATTAATTGATATCCAGGGTACCACTATAGCTCACCTGGCTGCACAGGTGACCCTGTGAAGGCTATAGTCCTTTAAGTCCACCCTAGGTTGTTGTTTGTGTGTGTGTTTGGGTTTTAACTGTTTTCTTTTTGTTTACACAGTCATCTGCACACAAGCATTGCATGCTGCCCCTCGGCAGGCTTCCAACAGTGGGCCAATTCACACAAAGGACTCGGAGAGAAAGGGACCTTTACAAACCATGGATGAGAGAGCTGGTTTTAGACAGAACTGAGGGGCTCTTTAAAGGGCCAGTATACAATGAGTTTCTGTGAACTAAGAATCATGCAAGTCTAATGTTGTCGAGTCCCAGAAACATAATGAGCTGAAAATAAGCTCATCTCTAAAATAAAGCTGTCAGGACCAGTTGGGTTGGTCCTGTAGGAACTGCTGGAACAAACTCGAGCTTAACCATAATCTGATTTTTGGCTCAACATTTACAATGACATTAGTGAAGTACTCCTTACTCTTTCATGTAATTGTTAATAGTGTCAGGAGTTAGTTGAGTGTGTAAAAAGTTTTTTGTTTGCTTTTTTTACAAATAGTTTAGACCATATACACAATCCATGTCAGGTGTAGCAGGAGCCCGAGGTCTTGATATAAATATTCAAATATTCCAGATTCCATTTTAAGTTATTAGTCATTTTGTTCATTTGGGCTCTAGCATTCAGACAGACTCTAAAGTCTGTGAGTCCTTTGCAGTGAGTCCTCTGCAGCTGCCAGCTGCTCTACATGACACTGCACTTTCCCTTCAGCTTGTCAGCTCGTTTCTGTTTTCCCGACCGTTTCCCGTCGATGCTCAGGCTCATGTCCCGCTTCTTCTCTAGGGCCAGCAACTCCTGGAACAGTTCCTTGACGTTGGTGTTCGTCTTGGCCGACGTCTCCATGAAGGCACACTTCCAGGCAGCCGCCTGAGCCTCACCTTCCTTCATCTCCACCTCACGCTGAGCCGTTTCATCGCTTTTGTTGCCCACAAGCATGATGGGAATGGATTCCACGCTGCCTTTAATGGCCAAAACCTAAATGGGCATGAGATAACATCAGTTAGGACTAAACATTAGGTCATCAAAGATGAAGCTGTCAGTCCTGAGCATGACTTCTGCAGTGAACTGCATACCACTGAGGCATTTTTCACTTTGTTTCTGCACCACCAGACTGAGTTGTGTGTTTGGTGTGTGCTTCAACATCCGTGATAACAATGGCGTTGGAAAACCAAAGTCTCTGAAAGATTTTTGTGAGTTTAATGTGCAGTGGTGCAATTAATCTGCAGAGTGTGACCTGTTGATAGATGGGTTTGAGCTCCTCCAGTGACTGGCGGCTGGTGATGGAGTACACTAGGATGAAGGCATGGCCTCTGGAGATAGACAGACGCTGCATGGCGGGAAACTGGTGACTTCCTGTTGTGTCAGTAATCTCCAGCGTGCAGACGCTCTTATCACAGCTGATCACCTGCAGGGATGACAGGCACTGATGTCAGGTATTAACAGTGACAGCAGATTTGATAGGAGGGTTTCGTTTACACATTTCTGTTACTGCAGTGTGGAAGGAAACATTATCCAGACGCAAGTGTCAGTTTCTTTTTAACTGCTTCAGCCAACCAGCTTTTTCTACTTCTTATCTGAGATGCCCCAGATAGCAATGAATCAGTGCTGATGGCCTTGTGATAATTCATAAAATGGTTCTAAGCCAAATACAGCAAAAATATTCTACATCAAACTTGAGCCGATTTTGGTCAAGATCTGGTGCACTTAATAGTTTGCTGTGAAGACTGAATAGAGCCCAAATAACACTAAACGATGTGGGTGATGTTTGGCAAAGCTATGGCATGGTTGGGGCTCATTTACTCACTCTGTGTTATTAATTGCAGAAACCTTAAATGTATGCACATTTCATTCATGGTATTAGAAACTTTTACAGCCAAACTTTCTGATCATGCGTGAAGATGCTCAAGAGCCCCACCTGTCTGTAGGTGTCCTCGACTGTGGGGATGTAGGTGTCTCTGAAGGTGCCTTTCACGAACCGAAGCACCAGCGAGCTCTTCCCCACCCCGCCGGCACCGAACACCACCACCCGGTAGTCATTACTCTGCTCTGGCATTCTGGGAACTACAGTTCACCTGCTTCTCTGGCTCTACGATCTGTAAGCTAAAGAAGACAGGACAAGAACATAAGCTGGATTATTTAATACGACTGGATCAAAATGAAAGGGTCAAAACGATGTCCTGCACATTATATCACCTTAAACATTGCATTCATTTGAAGTGTGGGGCTAAAAGTGAAGTGTGGACAACTACTCTGTTTTCCTAGGTGTCCATGAAGGTAGCAGAGCACCTTCCAGGTCCACCTAAGGTACAAGATAGTAAAAAGCCCAGCTTTGCTTGCGCCTCGTGTAGCTCATCTCACCTTTATAAGAACACTTTATTTAGTTTTGTTAAAGCTTTACACCTTACAGCTCACCCACACCGAGTTTTACACCGAGTTTTACATCAAATAACTGCCTGTCGACAGTTATTTGATGGCCAGTGAATTAAATTTAGATTCATCACTCTATACAACTTGTTTTCAGTCCAGTCTTGTGTAATTTGGTATACCTCGGCCTTTTCTTCCTGTTTCACCTCTTTAACGATGTCTCGTTGACAGCCAGACTTCCACAGAGACCATATCTGATGAATCTTTGGCGAACAGTCGATGGATCGAGGGTCAGATGCGTCTGTCATGTCCTGTGTCAGGTCTTAGCTGCTTTTTTCCTATTTCTTAAGGACAGGACTTTCGGATGCTGTTCATCGGATGTAGATAGTTTTTCAGGCCAATTTTGTTCAATTTTCAACTATTTTTGTTCACAACACAAGACTGACAAAAAATGCCAAGACATGGCAAGTTTTAGCTAAAAGCCCTCGGAATCACTTTGCTGGTGCAAAACTACTATCTTACATCTATTTGTGTTACCTTTTGCATTTAGAGATTCAACACTTTCGTTGTATATATGCAGTGACAATAAAGGGCTATTCTACTCTATTGTATTCCTTTCTAACTGAAGAATTTGAAACAAATGATGTGTTTTTGTGACATGCTGGTAATAACCAAGTGCCTAAAAAGACAATTAAAACTGGTCCTTTGCTAAGTTGTCATCCCTTAAGTTAGGTCCCTTTTTGTGTCTAAATAATTCAAAGGTAACTGTTACACGAGTTCACAAAGAAAAAACACTCCTCTAAAAATGATCAGGTACAATGACCAGACTTTAAATTATTGAAAAATCATTGAAATGACTGAAAAATGTAGCATTTTTCTTTTTGGTTTTTCTTTAGTACTTACTTTCATTATTGGTTTAATCACTTGAAACAGTACAAATACATACAGGCAAATTTAAGTAATTTCAGGATTTCCAGGCTGTGAGCCTCCCTCCACCCCTTCAGAATGACTAACGTGCACAAATGACACTTTTCCATGTCGTTAATGAGGAGAGCTGAAAACAAACCCCAGAGAAGGAAAGACAACAGCGATTCTAAAGGGAGCTCCTTCTCCTCCTCACCAACGTCACCACCTCCTTATCTCTGCCACAGATTCAGACCACCAGCCAATCACCACCTCGTTAATCCATCAGCATGACGAGCATCACACATACACCTGCCTCATGATAGCTTCCATTGTGCTTCTGGATATAACCATGGCAGCATCTCAATGTACTGTGTGTGTGTGTGTGTGTGTGTGTGTGTGTGTGTGTGTGTGTGTGAGATAAAGAGAGAGAGAGTGTTTCCAGTCGCCGTGGTGACGGCACTGAGAGAGGGGAGCAAACATGTCATCGGCACCAGCAGGGCTGTTGTCAAGGTAACCTGCCTGCCCACATCACTTGATGTCACTTCCTGCGCGGAGGCAGGCAGCAGGGAAAACACCTCCAACTAAAGCAGCAGCATCAGAGCTGCAGACACAGAATCTAAAAAAAACAGACCAATGTGAGACCAGGATATGAATTTCATTATTCTAATTATTACTGTCATTGCTACTGACAGTGCAGGCCTGCTTTAAATGGAGACGAAGCAAGAACGATAAAAATTATTTTTATCATATAAGTTGTGCTTAAAAAGATGATTCCACTCTGCTCAGCTCACCAATCCATCGGACTGATAAAGAAAAATCTTCTATAACAGGCAAAAGTCAAGTTATTTGGTGGATTACGCCCTCTGATGGGCCAACACAATGAACACAAAACTCTATCCACAGCCTCGTTCATAATCCGTCATCCTGTTTTATCATAGTCATGGAGAGGATCTCAGGGCGAAGTTGAGGTGCGTCCGTTTTTGCAGATGAACACAAATGACAGCATGCACTGATGAAAGTCAGCTCTTTCAGTCTAAGGCCATTGTTCTCCAGCAGAAAAAGTTGATTCTTTCTCACTCCAAGCTCCAGCTGCTGAGGTAACTCTCTAAGGTATGAGGAAAAAAACACTCTTTACTCAAAATGATAGAGATTTTCATTGAACTGCCTTTGAGCTAAGTTTAGACTGGGACTTGCCCACTTCATGCTCCTAACTGTTATTTTGCTCAGCCTAGAGCCACTAAAAAGGAAGTCGCTGAGGTGGTTGATCAGGATGCCCTCGGGTGCACTGAGGAGCTTATATCCAGCCAGCATATCATCCAGCTAGGAAGTTTCTACAGATGCCTCAGGATTTCTGAAATATTACTTTGCTGCTTTAGTGGCCTGCCTCTTTAAGAATTTAACTCAATAAATATTTAACTTTCAAAATGTAAGAGTTGAAAAAAGACTCAAGGTGGAGCCTCCGTCTTTTTGTTGTGTCGAGCTAGAGTTGAGTTTGTATCCGACCGTATAAAAAATGCAGTTTTATCAAAGCCACCTGCATCGCTCAGTCAGGCACAATGTGAACACAGTGTGACATCGGTCTGTTAGTTTCACTCCATAAATTTTAAACAAGCTGAGTTACTGGTTTGAAAGGGTGAATTTTAACGTAAACCACAACCTTACCCAGTAACTTTAACTTTTTACAGAAATTTTAATGAAGTGATTAATATTAACATTACATCAACATTTTAGAATAGTATTAATGCTATTTTTTGTAGTATTGTTAGCAGCATTGTTTAGCCTGTTCATGCTGTTGGCTGCTATAGGGTGTCACCTTTCATGAATTCAAGCCTGTTGCTAGATGGTTGCTAGGCAACATGACAATATTATAATATATCATGTATTATTTAGATATTGCAGAGTTATATGAATGTTAGTGTTGTGAAATTAAAATGATAGCATTCTTTTTTTTTTAGCTATTATAGGTGTGTAAATGCTAAAAACAGTCCATTTTAGCCTATTGCTAGTTGGTTGCTAAGATGACACGATAGCAGCATAATAACTGATATAGATGAGAACCTACAGGGGGCGTGCGCAGACTCTGTGCCAAGTTTGGTTTCTCACCTCCTGACTGTTTAGAATGAGTTGGCAAACATAGAGAGATTAAATGTGTATATTAAGATTCTTGTGACACATTGTGTCCTTTTTCTTTCTTTTCTCTGTATTTGTTTATTTTTCCCCATCCTTAAATCCATCCATTTTTCTTATCCAATTCAGGATCGGGTGGGTGGTGGCCTGGCAAGAGACAGGGTACACCTAGGACAGCTCGCCAGTTCGTCACAGGGCTGTTCACACTCACATCCACACTAACAGCATGTTTAGAATCATGGGTTAACTGAACAACCATGTCTGACTGTGGGAGGAAGCTGTGGGTCCTTTCTTATTGTTTTTCCATTTTTTCTTACCACATTCAAACCTTCCCCTTTGTGCCTTACTGTGTGTTAATATAAGACATTCTATTAATAGTTTTTGTCTATTTCTTCTATAGCTTTGGTGATTTAAATGAAACTTCACAGGATTTAATGAAGGATTACAATGAACCCGAAACATGAAATTATTAACACGTTATGTAATTTCCCTCCTGTCTAAAATAAGAAGGTGTGACCTGAAAAAAATAGCACAAAGTTCACACACGCATTTTATCGCAGTAACACTCAGTCACTTCCTGAAGAGTTAACAGAACCTTGAAGTCTTCATTCTAAAATGTAACAACTGGCGGTATAGAAATGTTATTTTTTCTCTAAAAAGAGAAGCGTCACCACAATGTGACTGTGTGAACTCATTCATGTCCCCACATCGTGAGAAATCCAAGTACTCACACTTACACTGAGGTTGCTGCAGTTTCACACCTCCAGCTGAACTCCTCACATCATTCACACTCTGTTGAAAATCTCAGTGTTTAATATCCTGCAGCAAAGAGCTGAATGTGATTCAGAAAGCCACTTCTTCCTGGAGATGAGTTGGAGTTGCTGTTAACTCTCTGAGATGTTTGTGGAGAATAACATCTGAATGAATCGTAAACTGAAAGCTTTTCAGATAAAATCTGATTTTGAGGCGTGAACATGTGAGAAGCGAGTATACCGGTCCAACAGGAAGCTTGCAGCAGACTGAGGAGTACAAAAATGCAAATAACTCATATTTCAGTACTGTACTTTTTCCTTCTACTTGTGTCACTAAATACTTGTGCCTGTCTGCTTGCCAGATCAAAATTTTAGGATTTGATTAAGAATTGGATTTTAAAAAACACACATTCTCCTCTAAAAGCATCCAAATGCTCCTGCTTCTCAGATGTGAGTTTGCTTCTTTTCTGTTTCCAGCCTTTAATCGATCCATTTTCTATTCTTTATCCAGCTGGAGGTTGCAGCAGTCTAAGTAGAGATCTTCCTCCCTCTGCCATCTCCTCCAGGTCTTCCAGGGATACTGAGGCAATCCCAAGACAGCCAGAGGGCATAATCACTTCAGCGTATCCTGGGTCTGTCCCCGAGGTCTCTGAGCAGGCACACAAGAGGCATCCCATTCAGAGCCACCTCAGCTGGCTCATTTCTTAAGGAGGCTCCTCGCTGCATTTCCACTTACTTATTTTTTAATTTTAATTTGTTTTTGGCTTTTAAATATGAGGATAAGTAAGAGGATGATCAATGTTATAACTGGACTATTAATACAAAAATACAAAAAGAGTAAGATACATTCCAGAGTAAGATCCATCATATTGACTAAATAAAGCCAAAAGTTTCAAACACTACAGTCGGTGTATCGCTGTGTTTTTGCCATGGACCACAACCATCGCCCACTGGTGGCCATTAAGAAGAACACATCTGCACATCTGTGTTGGCTTCATTTTTCAGACCCGGAAGCTACATTTGTCCTTTTATATTGATATGGATACTCATACACTCATCTCAGGCACACAGCGCTGACACTTCACTTACTTCTAAAGCTTTTTATATGCACTGTTAATGGCAGCACGCAGCATCCTGAACGCCAAACAATCGAACACTTCAGAGAAGAATCAGTCTCAGGCCAACTAAGATTTCCTATGCTTTGCTTTAATCTTTGGTGTTCCTCGTGTTTAATGTGGTCTATGCCGCCACAATCATCACAGCACGAGTAACTAATTATCACAGAGCACGTTAGCCAAGCTTTGATCAGCAGTTAGCATTATCCCAGCTAGTTGCTGTAACTGTTTGTAAACGACAGACTGAAAATCAGCTTCTTCAACTGCACAGGTGAGCCTGTCATTGGCTAACAGCCACATGGAGCAGAAACACGTGACGTCAACTCATTCAAAGTGAATGAGAAGTGAGAGCAATGAGGTCTGAAGTGTATCTTTGTGACTCCTGCCAAACTGCAAACTGCAAACTATATTTTTCACTGCGAATATCCAAACCATGCAGCAACATAGTAATAACTAACCTCCAGCTGTGCATGGGCTCATCCCAAATGTTCTTCTGGCTAAAGTTTTCGATGCCATATGATGGCATTGATGATGATGGCATTCCTCTCTCCAGATCAGGAATGATGAGAAGAACCGAACGCTTATCTTACCTGTGTTAATGTGTTTGCATTCGTTTGGCAATGGTTCTATATGTGACTGGTTCAACCCTCTAAGCCACCAGATGTGCATGCTGTTCTCTTCTTTTTCCTGTCTGTGCTCACATCCAAAGTTATAGGGTAGATGTAGTATTTAGTGTAGTGTCATCCAGACACCAGATAGTTATCTAAACTCCACTAAACCTCATAAATCCTTTTCCGTGGACACTTGAACACCTTTATGAACAGCCACGCTGACCATTTTATGTCAGACTTTGGACCTTTTCTAACTCTCAGAGGCGCCTCTGCCTCTGTTTGCTTTTGGGAACTTGAAGAAGCATCTGACCCGGAAATGGCTAATGACGTCACATGTGCGTCACAGCGCCGACACTAAAGGAAAACTTGAGTTTAACCCTAAGACAGCAGCGGCTTTGACTAAAGAGCAGTAAATCGCTCTGGGACTCAGTGAGTTTGGTAATCGTTTAACTAACATGTAATAAAAATGTTGTAAATATCATCTCAGTGCAACTGTTGACTTCTCGTGTTAGCTATGACATCACACATAATGCAACATATAGTTCACAAAGTCATTTTTCTTGCACAAACTAATGACACAAAAAGGTTACATCAATCATTGGTAAACAGTATTGATTATGATTTCATTAGCTGTTAAGACACTAAAACAAGCTACTGTATTTACTGCCTGCTCCCTGCCTACATATGCACTCTGAGTATGAACCCAATCTGGATGTGTTCTCCAAACCAGTTATTATCTAAATACTGATCATTACTAAATGCAGTTCACTATTTCTTAACTATAAAGGTGGCTAACTAAAGTATACTTGACTATCAAATACCATTTATCAATGATGAGGCTGGGCTGCTGATCAATCTGTTCTGAGACTTGCACCACATTTCGGTCACCGTGTGACTGTTCTTTAAGTTAAAACTCAAAAAGCATCTTCACTACAGCAGCTTTTTTGTGCTCGTGATGGCATTTCACGACTATAAAACACTGTCACGACACACACAGACACACACACACACACACTGACCTGCAGCTTTGTTCTCGGTCTCAATCAGCTGCAGCTCCTCGGTGTCATTACCTCCTCACATCATGTTAATCAGTGTGACTGCACTCAATAGTAAACGACTGCTCCTCGGGCGTGCGCGTAGTCGGGCACGCGCGTCCATAACCATTATATGAACGTGCACACCTATGCGCGCGCGCACACAGATTGTTGGAATACAGTCAAATCAGCACCGAGCCGGGTGGTGAAATCAGACCGGCCGTGGAGCTCTGCTCCTCGGCTGCTGCCCGACATCCTCCCCGGCTGACGGTGCGTTTGTTTTTTTTCCGGTGTGAGTGTCAGCGCAGTGGGTGTGGGTGTGATGCCTGCGGACTCACCTTATCTCCGCGGATCCTCTCCGTCGTTCCCTGTGAGTGTGTGTGTGTTTGCGGGGTTTGTCTACTCCGGAGCGGCTGTGAGCAGCCTGAACCCTCGGCTGTCTGACTCACACCATCATCATCACCATCATCATCACCATCATCAGACCTGCTGCTGCTGCTCAGCGCACACCAGACCTCCTCTTCCTCCTCCTCCTCCTCCTTCTCCTCCCTCCTCCATCACCTCCTTCCGCGACTCCGCTGGCAGGACAAGACTTCCGTTCGAATGGATTTTCAGAATAAAGGGCTCTTGCGGATGATCTTACTGAAGTTACAGACTGCATACAATATTATTTAAAGCTTCAAATCCGCTACACCAAATCTGTATTCTCACGGATAAATGGGTAGCACTAAAACATGCTAAAGATTTCAATTGTTACCTTCAGTAGTTGGCTGTGTAACCCTTTTAAGGCACATTCGTCAGATTTTAGATGTTCTGCTGTGAAAAAAGAGACAGTAAATAAATTAAGGCTTCTTTTCCTCCTCGCCCAAATTTGAACATTTTTAGCATTTTTAATCCCCGCACTCCCCCCGTTACACTCACCCGTACACATCACCGATAATAAATACGATAATAAAACTTTCTGTGAATAAATAACTTTCATTGTGTTTTTTTCTATTTTCAAAGCATTACGCGCTTTTAGGTTGAAGGCTGAGAATAACCGGAAGTCTTCTTTTCATCCTCCTCCTCTAAAATAAAAATAAATTTTTCTTCACCTTCACCTCCTTTAGCGTCAGTCAGACACGTCATCGACAGGAAAAAAATGCAATGAGCAGAATAAATAGAATACAGTAGAAGTAAAAATCACGCTTGAATCCTATCAGGTTACATTAGAAATACGCAGTATTGGCTGTTCATGCTGCCTGTAATATAAGCTGTGTACCTGTTAGTGATCAAATGTCCCTGTTTAGGGTTGTGTGAGTCCTGATCGTCTGATCAAATGTACCAAAGTCATTTTGTGTTTTGGTTTTACTTCAAAACAATTATCTCGATCCTTCTTTCATCAAAAGGAAAACAATAGATGCAAATCAGACTAATGTAATGTTATGTAATGTTACAGTGAGGCTTCAGTAGTGAGTGATCGATATCGCATTGATTATTGTCCCGTGGTGCATGAGGACAAAGAGCTGCTGATATAACAGATGAAGCATGTGTTGCTTGCAGGTTTGGGGATTGCATCTTGGTGTTTACATTGATATGGTTATGTGTAAGTGTTTGGAGTTATCACAGGTTACAATCTAAATTTAGCGTCATGGAAAAGTGAAGAGGCTGGAAGCGCTTTCCTGATGACTTCATGCTCTTAATTGTTAGTTTGAAGTCTTACTGAACACAGCATGATGATACTCTGTAAGTTATGGTCCCACTTAGACTCTTAAAGGACCATCAAGAAGTGTAACAAAGCTTTTGTGACTAACAAGTCCACTGTTCCCCACAAATAGACTATATTTGGGAAGAGCAATATTATATTTTGTGACTTACTTTAATTTTATTATCTACCTGCGACAACAATGTGACTGATTTCCTAATGTTTCCGTTTTTTCCCTCAAAGTTGTAGTAACCAGCTTGGCTCCGGTCCTCCTCGTCTTGTGTTTCCCTGACTGCAGGCTAAACTGTTGTGGCATTTCTAAAGATCACTCATGTGTCTCAAGCCTCTTTTACAAACTCCATCTCCAGTGTCTTGAACTGCAGCTGCTGATGACAGTTTGAAATCTGCTCCAGATCTGACTAATAAGACCCTCCAGCAGGTGGAGAACTGCTGCCGCTACAAGGCTGCAGAGAACAAAAGACTGCAGCTGCAGTCCAAGATGGTGGAGCTGGAGTAAAGGGATCGGTACTCCTGATAGCCTTTTTCTGTTGTAACTGAGCACTCAAAGCACGTTGTACTGTAAGCCACATTTATTAGTTTCTAACTTACTCACAATCACATGCTGATGCAACCCCCCCCCACCCCACACACACACACACACACACACCCCGCCTCCTGATCATCCATAAATGAGATGATAAAGCATTGGAGAGCCAGCTGATTATTCATCTATCATATATTGTCAAAGAATACATAGTATTATTTAATCATTAATTTAAGTATATGTGCACCTTTTTTAAATTGGTTGCTTCTGAAGGATGTCTGCGCTCACCATTAGACATGGGGTGAGGGGCTTGGTGGTTTGCAAGGAGCCCAGTAGACATCTGGGCATCTCCTAGGTGAGGTGTTTCAGGCATCTCTCCCTGGGAGGAGACGCCGGGGAAAACTCAGGTATCCTGGAGAGATTTTGTCGCTCAGCTTGCTGGGAATCCCTCAGTGTTTGCCAGGAGAGCTGGAGGGTTGGGTGGGGAAATCCAGATAAGTTGCATATGTATAAGTGGTGGATGGGTGGATGAGTGTGCAGTATCAATCAGTTTGTAAGTCAGAGTCAGCTGATTTATATTGTCTGTATTACTGAGATTTATATTGTCTGTATTACTGATTTATATTGCAGCCAGGGGATGCTACTGTGTTGCCTTTTAAAATGCTAAAATCGCTTTTTACTGATAATGACTGCTAAAAAAATGTGTGGTCTTAGCCTTCTGCTTTTCTTTTCCTTTTTTGCGGATGTAAGGATGGATTTAAAAAAAAATGCTGGATGTGTTGGAAAGACCCGGATAAAGTAAAATAGAAACACGGTCACTTATCTCCCTCTAGCGGGGAAGATGAAGCACTGCAAAGCTAACGTTTATGTGATGGTAATGAGTCAATGTCTACTATACTGAAACAAAGGAAATTAGGCTGTCAAACATTCTGTTAACAGTTTAATAATTATTCTAAACTTAGCCTGGTGAATTTCAATATTCATCAGTTTTTTGACTGTTGTTGTTCATAATCGGAAATTAATGTTTTTCTGGATAAACTGGTTTGATGCATTTGAGGTTTTGCCCAGTTTGATCAGATATTTCCTGAATGCAGCTAAATTTAGGTTTTGTGTTTAGACAGAGAGGCAGGTTTCAAGAATACTATAGTCTTAGCGATGTTTCTAAAGAAAATCAGCTCTTTACAATTACACATGTAAACTGATAAAATGATTTATTCAATAATGTCTACAATCAAAGCAAATGTGAACATTTCTCTGAACAAGAAGGAAAAGGATGCAGGAGGAAGTGGCAGAGATTCAGTTCCTGACTGTAAAGTGAACTAAACACAACAAACTAATTAATTCTAATTTAAAGAAACAGAATAAATCACAAGTACTGCATTAAAATATGCTGTGCACAGCACATAGCCTCCATAATGAATGTGAGGAATATTATTTTGTTATGAATAAATTATTATTATAATAAACAGTGTGACATTCTCATATAACATTCTTGTTATTTTGGTGCACCTCCCGTTCCTCACATTCTCAAATCACGCTGTTGTGATTTCACAGCTCTGCAGCTGTGAAGGAAAAGACTGCAGCAGGAGCTGCTTGTCTTCAGGCGTTTCTGACAGAAACACTTTAAAGCCGCTTTCAGAAGTCGGCTGAGGTGATGTGCGAGGAGCAGGTTGTGGTAGATCACTGGGTTCATTCCACCTGGGAGGCTGTGGTCCTGTGTTAAAACAAAAGTCAGCATTGATTTATTATTTCTAGGTATAGTTGATTTTTTTTCTCAGTGTTATTTGTGTCTTTACTTGCTGCTTAGTTACCGTTAGAAACTAATATTTTAAGAGCCATAAGTTAGGTTAAATACCATTTGAGTAAATTATTGAATTATACAGTTATATCTACAGTTTTAAGATTTTGGTTTAGGTTAAATGTTTAATGTTTTTCCAGTCCTGATATCCCAACAACACGACTGGTCAATAACACTGATAGCTGTGGAGTAATGATGCAGAAACAACACCAACAATCATATCAAGAAAAAACGACCAAAGAACATGTGTAATGTTTGAAACAATAAAGTAAGCCGAGTAAGCTTTTCCTGACCAGCTGGATTCTCAAAGTTTAAGATATATTAAGTTTTATTGTCATTATTAGCAACAACATACATGCATCAAAATTAGAAGCACTGCTGTATTTGGTGCATGCAAAGATAAACATTTATACAATAAGAATAAAATACAATTCCTAGAAATATATATCTTGTATTTTCTTCTATCATACATAAAACAATAAATGAGATTAAAAATCTAATGATACCAGCTCAAATGATGCACAGGTGGGCAGTGGAATAAATGGACATAACAGAGGTGTTTTAGGTTTGGGGCTATTGCACATAAGGTGAATATTCCACAGTGGTGAGCATGTAATTGGCCTGTTGTAAGTACTGAACAGCCTGATGCTGCACTGAAAAAAGTTGTTTTTCAGTCTGCTGGTCCTGAAACTGTGAAGTTTGGCTTGTTGGGCTGATTAATTCTGCAGTCTTACGTGTACTTTTTTCCCCCAACAGCTGTTGGATTGATTTCCCTAAACTGCCATCGTTAGTTGTGTGTGGAGTGCAATAACTGTAGACACAGGAGGCAGGAGCCATGAAACACAAAGCCAATTGATTAGAGTCCAAAAAACACAATGAACAGGCAAACAGGGAGCACAGGAAATGCAAACCTACAGCTAT